CGGCCACTGGGGTGGCGGGCCGGGCGCGGCCCTGCATCCCGGCAGCGGCCCTGCATCCCAGCAGCGGCCCTGCATCCCCGGCAGCGGCCCTGCATCCCGGCAGCACGGCCCGGCACTCGGTGATCTCTCTTTGCGGACGCGGGTGATCCAGGAGCACGCGCGACCGCACAGCCCTACGGGGCGCTGTGGGGCCCCGCGGTGTACACGTGTCTTTGGTGATGTTTATTCTTAACTATTTTATTATTTTTGGTGCTATTGTAAGTAGAATTGTTTTCTTAATTTCATTTTCTGATCGTTATTTGCTAACATCTAAAAATACAAATTATATATATATATATATATATATATACCTGTTTCCAAATTTTGGGTATTAAAAGCATGATTATACTTACATTTTTGTCAAGTTTCTGAGCTTTCTCTAAGACTTGAGGAAGATTCATGGTCTCTTGCCTGCACACTCAGAACACCCTCCCACCATCTCCCCGACACCCAGAATTACATATATATGTATGTATATATATCTTTTACAGCCCAAAGTGTCTTACTAATGCAGTACTCTTAGTCCAGGCCTGTTCGCTCCAGTTTGATGGAGTCCCCACGCCCTGCTATGACATTTGTCTGACTGGCTCCTGGTGCATTTTCCTTAGTTCCCCTCGGGTTGTAACAGACTTTTATCGCCCACGGATTGTAAAAGACCTGTTACCAGTAAATACTGTTGCTAGGCTGATATCAACGAAGGATACATGGGAAGGGAATGGCAATAGGCACGAATGAGGGGGAATGAGCTGACATGAATCCAAGGAAAAAGTCTTGGATGCACAATGAATGAACCAGGGTTCCTTAAACAGGGCCCATCTTTATTGCTTTTAGGGGTGAATGAGAGGGAGCCCCCACACGGAAGCAGTGCTGGAAAGAGTTGCACTGGGGAGGCAGCTGGAGTGTCAAGATGCTGTCGAGACCAAAGCCAGGGGAGTCGGAGGTGGACCTGCTGCGATTCCAGAGTCAGTTTCTTGCAGCTGGTGCAGCCCCAGCAGTGCAGTTGGTGAAGAATGAACGTAGGAGAGGTGCCAGCGCCAACCTGGACCGGCCTCGGCTGCAGGATGAGCGGGATGTGGTGATGCTGGACAGTGAGTAGCCGAGTGTGTGAGGCTGAGGAGGAGAGGGTACAACATCAAGGTCTCCTTCCCCTTCCTGATGTGGCTGGGTTCTACCCGTTATTATTTCATGCACTGCATAGCCTCTGTGGCTGCCACCCCATTTTACAGAGGAAGAAACTGAAGCTCAAAGAGGTTCAAGATCTTGCCCAAGGTGACCCAGCGGGAGCCAGGGCTCCCCAGTAGCAGACTTTCTTTCTTTGGCTTTCCCCTAGCCTTCGGACTCTACCTGGGAAGGTATGAGTATCCTCATATCTGGCTTGTTTTTTTTTCTCAGATCTCCCAGATTTGCCCCCAGCTTTGGTTCCTGCTCCTCCGAAAAGAGCCAAGCCCAGCCCTGGCCATCCCCTGGCTGACCATGTGGACCCTGAAGAGAGGCTGAACAGGCACGATCAGCACATCACTGCTGTCTTGACTAAGATTATTGTGCGTCTTACCCTGACTGAGTGGGACAAGGCATCCTGGGGCACAAAGGGTGGGGGTGGTGAGGCTTATGAGTAAAGGGTGATTTAAAAAGATGGGGCTTTATTCTCCTGCAGTGACGTGGGGGTCTGGTTTGGGATCACTGTGTCCTAAAAAGCAAGGTGGGTTTATCACTTCATAGAGTGAGATTCTAGTTGTACAGAACTGGGGCTACTAGGATAGGCTCCAGCCTGGCGAAGTCTCCATATCATCACTCCTTTGTCCTCTGTTGCGCAGGAACGAGATACAAGTTCAGTGGCTGTGAATCTGCCTGTGCCCAGTGGTGTCGCATTCCCCCCTGTATTCCATCGCTCACAGGACAGACAGGTAAACGGGTAACCTTAGATGGTACTTATGGTACAGTCAAGTGAACTTCCTACTGCATCTTCTGCAGATTGGGAAACTTAATAATGATAAGCACCTCTGTTGTTAAAGTGGCACCATATTAAGTACTTTATTTAATCCTCATAATAACGATGTAATGTAAGTAACATTATCCCATTTTTTCAAAAGATAAATGAATTGTTCAACACCATATATCTAATAGATAGAAGAGTCGGAAATCCAACCCAAGTCTGTCAGACTTCAAGACCTGTACTCTTACAGTGCCCTGCTTTTTCTGAGGACTAGGGTTGTGACCGTTGGAAATCAAGCAATTTTCTTTTATCTCTTTGTTCCAGTGACTAGTATAAAGAGGTTGAGAAGAGAATGGGGTAAGGAATATCAGTCACCTGAGTTTTCTTTTTGCCCCATAGAGGAAGCCAGCAACATCTGGTAAGAGAAGCATCTTTGCCCAGGAAATTGCAGCAAGGAGAGGATCTGAAGCCAGCATCCCACCAGTTAGAGGAGTTGTATCTGCCCAGGACCGACCAGAGGGTGAGCTGGGGTTGAAGAGACATGAGCTTGGCTTTTTTGTGACGCAGGATAATAGAGTGATCTTTGGATATACATGTTCCCTGCTTCAAATATGAAATGCATTTGAGCCATTTAAAGAAGAAGCTGTCCTATATTATCATGTTGAGTATTGAATATGGGTGGCTTTGGTCCACATCTGGGACTTAGGTGCAGGGAGAGAGCAGGCCAAGGAAGAGGATAGAAATGGCAAAGACCATAAAATAAAGATAGAAGCCAAGATTCCTTTCATAATGCAAATTACTAGTGGAAGAGCTGGTGGCATGCCCTTGACATGCAGCCTGAACATCTAAGAGCATGGTCAGAAAGTACGATGTTTCTAAGGGAAATCCTCTTATATAAGTCCCAAGGGGAAGAATGAATAGGGGGTGGAGGTAGGGGTCTCTGCTCTGTGCCTAGGAAAGCTCTGGGGCCTCCATCTCTCTCCAGGCCTGATGGGATTGGAGAAGAGAGCCAGACAGCCCAATTGGTACGAGGCAATGAAACTGATCATACACTTCTTCCAGGGGCTGTGACCTGTGAGTCACTCACACCCAGGGAGCAAGATCACCAGCTTCCACGTGGCAGCCAGAACTTCCAGGGACCCCATCTGGTCACAGGAACGGGGCTCAGGGACCAGGAGGCTGAGCAGGAAGCCCAGACCATCCATGAAGAGAACATAGCAAGACTGCAAGCTATGACTCCTGAGGAGATCCTGCAGGAACAGCAGAGGCTGCTGGCTCAGCTTGGTATGGGTACCTGGCTTTCTTCCCGAGACTGGGCTGGGGAGGGACTGCTGCTCACTGAGGCAAGCTTACTGTGATTGCCAGGCATTATGCTGAGGACTTTCCATCGTTCTGTCCTCAAACTGTTCCTGTGAGGTGGGTGGTACCAATCTCACTTACTTATGGAAAAAACAAAAAGAAAAAAACATGAGGCTCAAAATTTTAAGAACTTGCCCCGGCCGGGTTGTTCAGTCGGTTAAAGTAACGTCCTTATGCACAAGGTCATGGTTTTAATCCCTGGTCAAAGTGCATACAAGAAGCAATCATTGAATGCATAAATGAGTGGAACAACAAATGGATGTTTCTCTCTCTCAAATTAATCAATAAAAAATTTTATAAACCAGTAAAAACAAATATTAAAAAAAATTTTTTCTTGATTTCAGAGAGGAAGGGAGAGGGAGAGAGAGGTTGAAACATCATAGATGAGCCCTAGCCGGTTTGGCTCAGTGGACAGAGCGTTGGCCTGTGGACTAAAGGGTCCCGGGTTCGATTTCGGTCAAGGGCACATGCTTGGGTGGTGGACTTGATCTCCAGTAGGGGGCGTGCTGGAGGCAGCTGATGACCCTTCAGTCCGTAGGCCAGTGCTCTATCCACTGAGTCAAACTGGCTAGGGCCAAAACAATTTTTAAGAAACTCTGCCCCAGATCACATAGCTGTTAAGGAACATGGATGAGATATAAACCCAGGTCCATGTGGTTTCACAGGCCCTGATCTTAACCACTCTGCTGTGTGTATTGTACTACCCTAGTGTAACAGGCACTGTATTATAGCTGTTCTCTAATATGGCTGCAGTACACTCTACTATATGATGCTCTACTATACTATTCCTCCCTCCTAGTTTTTGTGCACCAAGTCAGTCTTATTCCAAACTATATATCTAGCCTGGCCAGTGCTGCTCAGTTGTTGAGCATCGACCCATGAACCAGGAGGTCTCAGTTCAATTCCTAGTCAGGGCATATGCCCAGGTTGTAGACTCTATCCCTGATGTGGGGCGTGTAGGAGGCAGCTGATTGATGATTCTCTCTCATCATTGATGTTTCTTTTTTTAAAAATATATTCTTACTGATTTCAGAGAGGAAGGAAGAGAGAGAGAGAGAAACATCAATGATAAGAATCATTGATTGGCTGCTTCCTGCATGCCCCCTAAACCCCCACTGGGGATTGAGCCCACAACCTGGGCATGTGCCCTGACTAGAATCGAACCATGACCTCCTGGTTCATAGGTCGACACTCAACCACTGAGCCACACTGGCTGGGTTCATCATTGATGTTTTATCTCTCTCTTTCTCTGAAATCAATCAATCAATAAAACTATATCTAGCATCTATATAGAGCATAGCATATATTAGGTTTTTAGTGAATATTTGTGCATAAATAAATTAGCTACAAGTGTGCAGGCAGGTTCCAGTGATAGTTATGGGTCATTGAGGCCCCACCAGAGCCCAGGGGCCTCAGTCCAGGGCTGGGAAGTGGCTTGGTCTTGACACCTATAGGCAGTATTCAGGTTTCAGGTCTAGAGGAGGTTAGGGAAGGTCTGCCTTCATCCTCTCTTCCCTCCCCCTCTCCTCTAGATCCCAGCTTGGTTGCTTTCTTGAGGTCTCGCAGCCATACCCATGAGCAAGCGGAAGAAAAGGCCATCGAGGAGCAGAGGGCAGGAGGACCCTCTGTTGAGGTCTCTGGAGAGGAGCCCATTATGCCAACTTCTGCCAGTGAGCCTAGGCAGGAAGATGAGCCTGAGCCAGGAACCCCAGGTTTGGAGAAGGGGTGACATCTTTTGGGGAATAAAAGTAGAGGAAAGAATTCCTTCTGGCGTTTGATAAAAGAGAATCGTCTCCGTCCTTGAACATCTAACATGAATCTTCATTATTTCCTTGAAATCTGTCTTCATTTATTGACATGTATATTCTTTCTGCACATGCTTCCTGTTTTCCTGCCCTGTTACTTCTCCTCTTCCCCCTTCTGGTAAAAGGCAGCAGCGTGTGATGGCGGACTGGCCCCCTCCCCCAGCAGACCATCTCCCTGCCTTAGCTATAGCTGCCCTAGCTGTGGTTCCATCCATCCCAGTTTTCTGCCTCCGCTTTCAGCGTTGGGGGGAAGATGGCAGGGCCAGGGTGATGGGAGAAGAGTGATGCAGGTCTTATGAATATGCCAGACCTGAAGCAGAGAGGCCAGTGGGAGCACTCATTTCCCAGGAACTTGATTATTTCATTAGTGATTAACAAAAGAAGAAATTGAATTATGAGAGCCAGGACCTCCTGCCCCTGGATGAGCTCCAGGCCGGATGAGCAGGTTGGGTGCGGGTTGGGGTGAGGAAGGAAGGGGTTGTTGGTGTGTGTTTTTGTATCTTGCCTCCCTGAAGCAGGATAGCTCCCCCTACTCCTTGTCCCCACTTCTCTGCTCCTGTGACAGGTTGGTACTCGGCAGTGAAGAACTATGTTTTCCCTGATTTATGTGGTCCTTCCTTCTCTGCTCCCTCTCTCTTCTCTTCTTACCTCCTCCTCTTCCCTTTCCCCTCCCTAGGAATCCTTGGGGTCAGTTAGGGGCTAGAGCCCAGGGACTAGGTGTGTTCTGCCGTATTGGGGACAGGACATTTGCCCAGTTCCCAGGATGAAGACTGGGACCCCAGTGCCTCACTGAGCTGAGCCCCTTAGGGAACTGCTTCCATCTCCCCAGCTCTGGCACTGCCTGTGGCCCCCCATAAGGAATGGCTGCACATGGACACTGTTGAGCTGGACAAGCTCCACTGGACCCAGGACCTGCCCCCACTCCGGCGGCAGAAGACGCAGGAGGTGAGGGGCGCAGGCTGGCCTACAAGGGGTGGATTGGGGTGAGAGTGGAGCTGCGGCACTTGTACCCAGAACCCAAGCTCAGGCCCTTTTGTTCCCTTGAGCTTGAGAAACACCTCTTCTTGCTCACCTTCCTGGCACCATAGGCCAGAGGAGCCCATTTCTAATCAGAAGTAGAGCCAGGACCTAAGACCTAAGAGGCCTGGGGTTGAAGGTGAGGAGTGGGTGTGGGGAAGTTGCTGCCCCAGCCCAAGGACCTCTTTTCTCTTCCCATTAGAGGATGCAGGCCCGATTCAGTCTGCAAGGAGAACTACTGGCTCCAGATGTGGACCTGCCCACCCACCTGGGCCTGCACCACCATGGAGAGGAGGCAGAGGTGATCGTGGGGCCCAGGGAGGACTGTGCAGCTTTTGACAACCGTGGAAAAGGACCTCTGGTCAATGCCTTGGACCTGCTATTGCAGGTCATGGCCCATGGCATCCATTCAGGTTCTCAGCTCAGTCTTTCCCCTCGTTCCCTCACTTTCCGGTCAGTTGCCAGAACTTGCCAGTTCTCTCCCTTCCTCTTGGTGCTTCTTAGATAAGAGCCTTGCTCCCTCTTGTCTGCTCAGTCACCATGTCTTCCAACTCTCTCTGCCATGCCATGCCATTCCATCCCTCTTGAGGCTGCCACACTGATTCCTCTGGCCCAGCTCAGGCCTTAGAAAGTTTCCTGGCTCCTTAGCCCCATAAGGCAGCCCTTCCATAGTCTGTCCCTGCCCCCTGGCTCCCGCCGCACCATTCTGTTGCCCTCTCCCCACACACACCCTGTGCTTAAGCACCTCCAGGGCTCAGCTCCTGAGCCTGCTCTGGGAACGAATGCCTTTACCCTGTGTTCCCAGCCAGGCCATGGGAGCCCTGCGCACCCACCGAGAACACAGCACTTTCCAGTTTTCTCTTCTTTCTCTCTTGTTCTCTGGTTGCAAAGTAAATACTAATTATCTTCCTTCTAATCTGCTTTATGTCGTGGTTATTTGTATGCCTATCTTCCCTTCTTTACCAGTTTGAGGATCCATTGAGAGAGATATCGTGTATCTTTGTCTTCCCCGTGACTTCTAACTCAGTGCTTGGCATAGAAGGGTTCCTGTGTATTTGTTGGGGGGTGCTGCCCTGTATCTTGACTCTATGACTTCTTGTCCCTGCCCCAGAGAGCGGGGTACTCCCTGCAGGAGCTGTTTCACCTGACACGCAGCCAGGTGTCCCAGCAGAGAGCACTAGCACTGCATGTGCTGGCCCAGATCATCAGCAGGGTGAGTGGACTGCGGGCTTGGTCCTTCCTGCCCCCCACCTCACCTCTCAATCTTAAGACTTCCCACTTCCTGTGCTTTTCCCTCTGGCTCAGTAGTCCATACACCAGCTGTCTGGGTCAGACTGGGAACGATGGGAAAGTGAAGGGTTTAGGACAGGGATGGGGAATGTCTGGCCCTGCCCAGGTGTTAGGGGTGATTTAATTAAATGTTTGACCAAAGATAGCAGGCTAATTTTGTTGTTGTTGTTAATCCTCACCCTAGGATATTTTCCCATTGATTTTCAGAGAGAGTGGAAGAGAGGGGGAGAGTCACAGAGAGAGAAACATCGATGTGAGAGAGACACATCGATTGGTTGCCTCCAACATGTGCCCTGACACAGGCAGAGGTCAAGCCTTCAACTGAGGTCAAAGTACATGCCCTTGACCAGAATCGAACCTGCAACCCTTCAGTCTGCGGGCTGATGCTCTAACCACAGAGCCAAACCAGCTAGGGCAAGGGTAATTTTCAATTGGTAATTTTGTGTGGCCTGCGAATGATGTTATAAATACCCAAATGGCCCATGGCGGAAAAAGGTTTCCCACCCTAGTTAGGACAAAGACTCTGTAACTTCCCCCTGCAAGCTTTTCTCCTCCTTCTCCCAGGCCCAGGCTGGTGAGTTTGGGGACCAGCTCGTGGGCAGTGTCCTGCGCCTTCTTTTGGATGCTGGTTTCCTTTTCCTGCTACGCTTCTCCCTGGACGATAGAGTGGATGGGGTCATCGCAGCTGCTGCCCATGCTCTTCGAGCTCTGCTGGTGGCTCCTGGAGATGAGGTACAACAGGGATAAGAATGGGGCTTTGAGATATCAGGGTCCCTACTGTTCCTGTGGGCGTGCCCTCCTTGTGCTCCAGGCAGAGCAGAGGGTGGGATAGCAGCATCACCATCTTCTTTTAAAGGCCACAAAGCCTGGAGTCTTGCTCTTCTTCTTTTTTTTGCTTTGTTTTGTTTTGTTAGTCTCACCCAAGGATATTTTTCTCATTGAGTTCTAGAGAGAGTGGAAGGAAATGATGAGAGAGAGAGAAAGAGAGAGAGAAACATCAATGTGAGAGAGACATATCGATTGGTTGCCTCCTGCTCATGCCCCAACTAGGCAAGGATCAAACCCAGGTAAATCCCTTGATCAGGAATCTAACCCGCCACCCTTCAGTGCATGGGCCGATGCTCTATCCAGAGAGTCATACCGGCCAGGATGCCCTTCTCTTATTTGTGGATGGTGCCACTCTCTATTCCTGGGCCCATTTCCTGCTTGACTCCTTCTTCTTCCTACCCCATTCCCTTTCCTCTGGCAGGAACTCCTCGACAGCACCTTCTCCTGGTACCATGGAGCTATGGTGTTCCCGCTGATGCCCACACAGGAGGACAAGGACGATGAGGAAGAAGATGAAGAGCCCTCAGGAGAAAAAGCAAAAAGGAAGAGCCCTGAGGAAAGAAACCAGCCTCCATCTGACCTGGCCCGACATGATGTCATCAAGGTAAAGCTGCTGGGACAGCTGCATCTGTCCCGTGACCTCGAGGGCATGCACATGTCAGGCAAGAGGGGTCACCAAGGCCTGGGGCCCAGCTGCATTTGGCAGTGGATTTCTCTCTCATCCCCAGGGGCTTCTGGCCACCAATCTGCTGCCTCGGCTGCGCTATGTGCTGGAGGTGACCTGCCCAGGACCTTCCGTGGTCCTTGACATCCTGGCAGTGCTCATCCGCCTGGCCCGGCACTCCCTGGAGTCAGCCACAAGGGTGAGAAACGGAGACAGAATGGGAAAGGAGTCCAGCCGGGCCTAGTCTTGACCCTCAGCCTCCCTGCCTCCCTTTCCTCCTGTTCCCCACAGGTCCTGGAGTGTCCTCGGCTGATAGAGACCATAGTTCGAGAGTTCCTGCCCACCAGCTGGTCCCCTGTTGGGGTGGGGCCTACCCCCAGTTTACACCACGTACCCTGTGCAGCTGCTATGAAACTACTTCGTGTCTTAGCCTCAGCTGGTAGAAACATTGCTGCCCGGCTGGTAAGCAGGACGCGGGGCGGGGGTGGGGGTGGTCCTCAGGACAGTGCCGGGCTAAGGCTAAGCATGGCCACTGGACTCTGAGAGGCCTGCTCATGCCATATTTCTTTATCTTGATCCAATTGCTTAGAAATGCAACAAAAATCACCAGTCAGGAACCTAATCAGCTGGAGCCCAGTGTATCCTGTAGGCCTACTCTGTTCTCATGTGAAGGGAGGGCTCCCAGGCCAGAAGAGCCACACACAGATAACGCACACAACACCCCTAGCCATGCAGCCCTAGAGAAGGTGACCAGCATGTGCTTGCTAAAAAGGAGAGGAAGGGGGAAGGTGGGAGGGGGCAGATGCGACAGTGTCACCCTGGCCCGGAGCAATGGAACCAGAGGGGCCGGGAACAGGGCTACGTTGAGTCCATCTCCATAGTGAGAGGACCTGAGGTTACTTGAGACTCCCAGCTGATCCTGATCCCCAGGCTTCCTGTCCACCCTCAGCTGAGTAGTTTTGATCTCCGGAGCTGCCTGTGCCGCTTTATAGCTGAGGCTCCTCAGGAACTGGCCTTGCCCCCAGAGGAAGCTGAGATGCTGATCACGGAGTCCTTCCGCCTGTGGGCTGTAGCAGCCTCCTATGGCCAGGGCTGTGACCTTTACAGGTGAGGAGGACAAGAGGTAGGCTCCCTGGGAGACCTCTCCCATTCTGCACTCTTGCCTAACCTGACTCAACCTTGCCCAAGGTTTCAAGCTTGGAGGGAGGCTGAAAATGAGGAAGAGGGATTCTGGGAGTAATGACCAACCAGGGGAGAGGGGAGCAAATTCTGTGCTGTTGGGTAGATCAGATTTCCCCCTATTGGGAGAAAGCCTTGAAGGGCTGCCTCCTTCCATTCAGCCCCCACCTTCCCTTCCCTCTTTTTTTTTTAAAAATACATTTTATTGATTTTTTACAGAGAGGAAGGGAGAGAGATAGAGAGTTAGAAACATCAGTGATGACAGAGAAACATCGATCAGCTGCCCCCTGCACATCTCCTACTGGGGATGTGCCCGCAACCAAGGTACATGCCCTTGACCGGAATCGAACCCCTCTTGAAATCTCCCAGGATTACCCAGACCGGGGCCTCTCCCTTCTGGTCCTCCTTAACTGTACTGCAGAGCTCTGGGGCAGGCCTGCCTTGTATCTTACATCTCTCTCTCTCTTCTACACTGAGAGGCAGTCATTGTTCTCCCCAGGGAGCTATACCCAGTGCTGATTCAGGCCCTGCAGGTCATGCCTAAGGAGCTCAGCACTCACCTCCCGCAGCCCCTGTCCATGCAGCGGATAGCCTCATTGCTCACTGTCCTCACCCAGCTGACCTTGGCAGCCAGCAGCACTGCCCTGCAACCCAGCAGGTAGGTTACAGCCCTCAGCTGCCAGAAGAGACCTCCTGCCAGGAACTCTGGGACAGGCAGGAGAGTTCCTCCCCAGGGAAAGGGTGGCTAGAGCTTAGAGGGGTGTTCAGGCAGTCAGATCCTCACTGTGGCCCCTTTTGCCATTCCTGTCGTGACTCGGCTGAGGCTAGTCTGTCGGCCACCCCTTCCTTGATCACTTGGACACAGGTGTCTGGGCTCAAGCCTCTTGTGGAGCCATGTCTAAGACAGACCTTGAAGTTGCTGCCCAGACTTGAGATGTGGCATGCTCTGGGCCCAGTGCCCACTGCCTGCTTGCTCTTCCTAGATGCCTACTACCAGACCTGGAGCCAGCAGGTAAGTGCTGCCCGCCTGCCTCCCACCATGCCCTGGGTGCCTGCCTCAGTCTTAACACCCCCCCCACACACACACACCAATCCACTCCTGCTCCCCATTCCCACATCTTCCTACTCTACCTTTTCCTTCCTACCTTTCATTCTCTTTCCACCTCCATACTCAGTGGACTTCCAAAAGCCATGTCGGTGGGGGCCAGAGAACCGCTAGCAGCAGCTCAGCCTCCACGGAGCCTTTGTGCTCTCTCAGGACCCCTCTCAGCAGAGGCCAGAGCAACCCCAGGGTCTTCTCCCTCCACAAGAGTCAGAAGGCAGACACCTCCGAACACTGACTCTTTGGCTCTTGGAATTATGGACTCGGCCTGGGTACCCAGGGTCTAGGAAAATGGGTGTCCTGGGCTGTCAGCTCAGTGAGCCCCTTGGTCCTCCAGCCAGACTTGTGCCCAGGGGATTGGCTTCAGGACATGGAGCGCCTGTCGGAGGAGCTACTACTGCCCCTGCTGAGCCAGCCCACGTTGGGCAGCCTGTGGGATTCCCTTGGGTATGTACTGTGTGTGTAGTTGTGGGGGAGGCATTTGTTCTCCTTGTGGGATTCCGGGGTATACCTCCCTGGTCCATCTCAGGTGGAAGCCCTCAGCCTGAGGGAAACCTGGCTCCCTATCAGGCCTCAGTGGGGACGCAGGAAGGTGGGCACTGGTCTGCACTGGCCAGCCCTCTCAATTTCTCTATTCTGCCTCAGGCGCTGCTCTCCTCTCTGCAACCCACAGTCCTGTGCTCCGGTCCCTGAAGCTCTGCCCAGCCTCGTGTCACTGGGCTGCACGGGAGGTTGCCCCCCTTTCAGTCTGGCTGGCTCAGCCTCACCCTTCCCGGTCCTCACTTCCCTCCTCACTCTTTTCAACACCCTGGCCCGGATCCACAAGGGGCTATGTGGCCAGGTGAGCCCTGCGCACCTGGTTAGATTCCAGGCAGGGGGCCAAGATGCCAGGAGTCAGAAAGAAAGTGGGGAGGGCGCACCTTGGGAAAAGGAGGCCTCTTCTGCCAGCACCCATTTTTCTGAGTTTGGCTGGGGAGAAAGCGCCACCTGGGGACCCCCAGAAGAGATCAGAGTCACCTTCTAAATCTGAACAAGCTTGCGTTTCCTCAGCTGGCTGCTGTGTTGGCTGCCCCCGGACTCCAGAGGTACTTCCTCCAATGTGTGGTTCCTGCGGCTGCCCCGCTCCTCACACCCTTCTCTGTGTGGGCCCTGCGACACGAGTACCACCTGCAGTACCTGGCACTCGCCCTGGCTCAGAGAGCAGTAGGTACCCCCAATCCCCTACCCCGCTATCTACTCCCTCTGCCCCACATTGTCTGCATTCTTCTACTATGGAACCTGTGCTGCTCCTGGCAGGCAATGCAGTTTCTACTTTCCTCCAGACACGCCCTTCAGCATATATCCTCTTTGCTTATGTCCTCATCCTCACTTCTCTTTGCTTTGCCCCCTTCTCAACCCTTGAGCCCCCCACCATCTGTCCACAGGCAACATTCCAGCCAGTGCCGGCCACCAATGCTGCCCTCCATCATGGCATGGCCTTGGCTCTGCTGAGCCGGCTGCTGCCTGGAAGCGAGCACCTTGCCCATGAGCTACTGCTGAGCTTTGTATTCCGGCTGGAGTTCCTCCCGTAAGTCCAGAGTTGGTGGCATCAGCCCTTTGAGATGAGTACCGTGGTTACTGACAGAGCAGCCTTAAATTGGAAACAGGAGACCTGGGCTTAGTTCTCTTTCTTTCATGGATTACCCTTAACCTGTCTGAGCTTCCATTTTCTCATCAGTAAAATGAGGTTGGGGATAACCACATTAGAGAATTATGAGACTTCAGCGTGACTGTGTATAAATAAGTATACACATGTAATAGCCAACAGTTACGAGTGCTTACTTTGTGTCTGGTATTCCTTTAAGTATTTGACTATATTTTAAGCATTTTACCCATACCATGAGCTAGGTATTACTGTTTTTTTAAATTATTTTTCAATTACAGTTGACATACAATATTATATTCGATTCATGTGTGAAACATAGTGATTAGAAATTTACACACCTTACAAAGTGATCCCCCCAATAAGTAGATTAGCATTACTATTATCACCATTTTACTATGAGGAAACGGAGGTACAGAGAAGTTCTGTAAACTTGCACCTAGGCAGCCGGCCCTAGTGTCCATCCTCCAAACTGCCACACACACATGAAGGGGTGTCAGGGGAACTGGGAAGACCTAGGAACCTCTGGGAAGCCCTGGGAAGCTGGCATGGCCTTCAGGGTGCTGTGGTTCCAGCCGTTATTTTTAACTTTTGGGTTCTGTTACAGGGAAAGCGCATCAGGGGGTCCAGAGGCAGCCGACTTCTCGGACCAGCTATCCTTAGGGAACAGCAGGGACCCTGGCTGTGGGCGAGGGGCTCTGCTGGCTCAGGCCTGCCAGGACCTCCCCAGCATTCGCAGCTGCTACCTGACCCACTGCTCCCTGACCCGAGCCAGCCTGCTAGCTTCTCAGGCCTTGTACCGAGGGGAGCTACAGCAAGTCCCAGCTCTGCTGCTCCCCTTGCCTAAGGAGCCTCTGCTGCCCACTGACTGGCCTTTCCTGCCCTTGATCCACCTCTACCACCGGGCCTCCGACACCCCCTCGGGGCTCCCTCCTGCTGACACTGTGGGCACAGCCATGCGGGCCCTGCAGTGGGTGCTAGTCCTGGAGAGCTGGCGCCCCCAGGCCCTCTGGGCTGTGCCTCCTGGTGCCCGCCTGGCACGGCTCATGTGTGTGTTCCTGGTAGACAGTGAACTGTTCCGGGAGACCCCAATACAGCGTCTGGTGGCAGCCCTTCTGGCCCGGCTCTGCCAGCCTGAGGTCCTGCCAAACCTCAACCTGGATTGTCCACTTCCTGGCCTGACATCGTTCCCTGACCTCTATGCCAACTTCCTGGAGCATTTTGAGGCTGTGTCTTTTGGGGACCACCTCTTCGGGGCTCTGGTACTCCTTCCCCTGCAGCGTCGGTTCAGCGTCACCTTTCGCCTTGCCCTCTTTGGGGAGCACGTGGGAGCCTTGCGAGCTCTGGGCCTGCCTCTGACCCAGGTACTTTCTCAGCCCAGCAGAGCCTACCATGGGCATCCACACTGGGCTTTGGGAGCGACTGTGACAGTGGGAAGCTTTGGTGAGAATCCATGAAAAGGGTTTAATGTGGTATCTGGCGTATAGTAGATGTTTGTTCAAGACACAGCTTCTTACTCATGAGGTGCTATGATCTAGGTAAGAGATGTCCTAAATCCCAAGGTAGTTCTAAATTATTCAGATTTTAGGTGCTAAGTCAGGATTCAGAGAATGGAAAGTTGGCTTCCCATAAGGAGAAGGCTTTGTGAAAGAATTGGCAATTGACCTAGCATTGACCAGGAATTTACCTAGTGGAACAGCATGAGCAAAAGCTCAGAGGCAAAGAGTAATATGACAGGGCCTGGGACAAGGAAGGAGTCTAGAACAGATTTAAGTTTGGAAACCTGTTGGAAACAAAGCTAATAAAGTCTTAAGAGGGCCTCAAATATATCAGCGTAAGGAGTTAAATTTATAAACTGTAAAGAGCTTTTTTTTTAATTTGGTTTTTAAATTTTCATTATAACATTCTGATAAACTTAAAATAGAAATATTTTAGTATATAAATATATTTCACATATGTATATAAAATATGAATATATTTTACATAGAAAGAACATTACCTTTTTAAAAAAATAATTCTTTAATGTATATTTTTATTGATTTCAGAGAGGAAAGGAGAGGGAGAGAGCAATGGAAATGTCAGTGATGAGAGAATCATTGATTGGCTGCCTCCTGCACACCTCACACTGGGGATTGAGCCCACAACCTGGGCAGATGCCCTGACTGGGAATCGAACCGTGAGCCACACCAGCTGGGCACCTAAATGTTCTTAATGTGCATAATCCCACTGTTCAGTGGTAACTTTTGATTTTTATTTATCTTTTTCTAGTCTTCTTTATATGCATATATGTTTTTATAAAATTGGGATCACTGCATGTTTTCTTATGATTACATAATAAGCATTTCCACATCATTAAATATTCTAAGAAGCCCTAACTGGTTTGGCTCAGTGGATAGAGCGCCAGCCTGCGGACTGGAGGGTCCGAGGTTCGATTCCGGTCAATGGCATATACCTTGGTTGCAGGAACATCCCCAGTGGGAGGTGTGCAGGAGGCAGCTGATCGATGTTTCTCTCTCATCGATGTTTCTCACTCTCTATCTCTCTCCCTTCTTCTCTGTAAAAAATCAATAAAAAATATTTAAAAATAAAAATAAATAAATAAATATTCTAAGAAATCAACATTTGTTATTATATAATAATTCATTGTGTACCCCACTTTATTTTATCGGAACCCATTAAAGTTGTTTCTGATTTTTGCTATTTTAAGTAACTTTATGATAAACACTATGACAGCTTTCTCTCTCATAATTTCTGCACAGAATTAAGAATCATTTTATTTTTTTAAGAGAGGAAGGGAGAGAGAGAAACATCTGTTGGTTGCCTCCCACATGCACCTCAACTGGGAGTCACATCTGCAACTTGGATATGTGCTCTGACTGGAAATCAAACCCACCACCTTTTAGTGTATGGGACGTTGCTCCAACCCATCCACACTGGCCAAGGCAAGAATAATTTTTTAGAAAGAGAATTACTAGTCCAAGAGCATGGATTCTTGGAAGGTTTAATGAGAGCCCTGGCCAGTGTGGCTCGGTTGGTTGGGCATGGTCCTGTGCACAGAATGGTTGCCTTTTTGATTCCTGGTCAGGACACATGCCCAGGTGGCAGACTGGATCCCCAGTAGGGGGTGTGCAAGAGGCAGCTGATCAGTGATATGCTCTCACATTGATGTCTCTCTCCCTCTCCCTTCCTCTCTAAAAATCAATAAAAATAATGAATTTTAAAAAGTTTTAATGAGAGATATTTTTTTCAATCCTCACCAGTGGATATGTTTTTATTGATTTGAGAGTGAGAAAGGGAGAGAGAAAAACAGCGATTGGTTGCCTCACTAATCGAACCAGTATACAAGATGTCGCTCCAACTGAGTCACACCAGCCAGGACTGAAAGGTTTGGTAATATAATTGAGTGGTTGAACATGACATTTTGAAAATTTTTGGGTTTGTTTTTGTTTAAAATATATTTTTATTTATTTCAGAGAGAAAGGGAGAGATAGAAACATCAATGATGAGAGAATCATTGATTGGCTGTCTCTGGCATACCCCCTACTGGCGATTGAGCCCACAACCTGGGCCTGTGCCATGACTGGGAATCGAAATGGGACTTGATTCTTAGGTTGACACTCAACCACTGAGCCACACCAGCAGGCTGAAAGTTGTTTGGTTTTTTTAAATATACTTTTGTTGATCTCAGAGAGGAAGG